GGGCCCCGAGGGCTCCAAACCCCTGGGGAAAAGCAGCAGCAAAACTTACCACTCCAGGTCGAGGCGTCGTCGTCGTCGTCGTCGTCGCCGTCGTCTGCGGGTCGAGAGCTCCAGGATGGGGCCGAAAGCTCCGGGTTGGGGTCGGGAGCTCCTGGACGGGGTCGAGAGCTCTGGGGTCGAAACAGGGGCCAGGAAATTTGGTCCAAGTATCGCTGCCTGGTCCTGCAGGGGCTGGGTAAGGGTGCGTTTACACCTCCTCGTCGTCGTCGTCGCCGAGGAGGAGGAGGAGGGCCCCAGGAGTTCTGTACCACCGGCCGCTGGGTTGGTACATAATTCCTGGGGCCTTCTTGGAGCCCTCTTGGCGCCCTCTTGGCGCCCTCTTGGGGTCCTCTTGGGGCCCTCTTGGGGCCCTCTTGGGGCCCTCTTGGGGCCCTACAGGGCCAACCAGGGGTCCGAGAGGGCTCCGAGAGGGCCCTCAGAGGGTCCCAAGAGGGTTCAGGAGTTCTGTACCAGCGGCCGCTGGATTGGTACATAATTCCTGGGGCCTTCTTGGGGCCCTCTTGGCGCCCTCTTGGGGCCCTCTTGGGGCCCTTTTGGGGCCCTCTTGGGGCCCTCTCGGAGCCCTCTTGGGGCTCTCTTGGGGCCCTCTTAGGGCCCTCTCGGGGCCATCTTATGGACGGCGACGACAACGACAACGACGACGACGATGACGACGACGACGACGACGACGACGACGACAACGACGACGACGACGACCACGACGATGGTGGTGACGACGACGACCACGACGACGACGATGACAACCACGACCACGATGACGACGCGCCCGAAATCAGCCGACAAAGCGACCTAGTAGTTAAACCGACAAGGTGTCCTTCTTTTGGCGCAGCGGCTCCGAGACAGCCTGCAGGGCAGCCTCTTTTTGGCCGCATCGGCTCCGAGAAGCCTGCAGCTCGGCCCCCGGTGACATTTTTTCGGCCCGCCCTTTCAAGGCCCCACGGCCGGCTCTTGGGTCGAGGAAGAAGAGGAGCAAAACCAGGAGAATCAGGAGCAGGAGGACGAGGAGGTTGAGCAGGGGGACAAGGACGAAATGAGAGGCCTTAAGCGGCTCCGAAAACCCTGCAGCTCAGCGCGGTTTGGTCTCGGAGCCGCTTCTGGCCTATCATTCCGTCCTTGACCCCTTGCTCAAACTCCTCGTCCTCCTGCTGCTCCTGCTCCTCTGGTTCCTGTTGATCACCTCCTCGTCCTCCTGCCCCTCCTCCTCCTCGACCCAAAAGCTGGCCGTGGGGCTTTGAGATGGCGGCCCCACAAAACATCACCGGGCCTCGGGGTGATATGTTTTTCCTGGGGGGGGCAAGGGCGTCCGCAGACGAGCCCGCGCTGAGCTGCAGGCTTCTCGGAGCCGCTTCGGGCCTCTGATTCCGTCCTTTCCTCTTGCTCTTCCTCTTGGACTGTTTCCTCGCCCTTTGGGGCCCTTTTGGGGCCATCTTGAAGTCAGCTTGGGCCGTCTTGGGACCATCTTGTGGACATCTTGGGCCGTCGGACAGCCGAAAAAGAAAACGCGCCCAAATTATTCAACAATTGAAGGGAATAAATACAACCATTTGGGCATTTCGGGCTCTCCTGGAGGTCCTCTTGAAGACTTCCTAGACTGTCTAGGAGGCCCCTTGCATCCCCTTGGGGCCCTTGGGGCCCTCTGTGGCTGTCTTGGGACATCCTGGGGCTATGTCGAATCGTATCGTTGCCATCTTGGACGTTTTGGAGCCGTCTTGAAGGCCATCGTGGGCGCCTTGGAATTCTCGTGGGCCGTCTTGGAGGCGCCTTGGGGGCCTCTTGGACCGTCTGGAGGCCGTCATGGGGCCGTCTTGGAGGCCTCTTGGGCGCTCTTGGGGCCATCTTGGGGGTCTCTTCGGCGGCATTGGGCCGTCGGCAGGCCGAAAACGTCAAAATCCATCAAGAGCCCACGGGAAATCAGCTGTCTTGGCCTCTTCGGGCCTTCCTGCAGATCCCTTTGGAGGCTTCTTGGACTGCATTAAAAGCCTCCTGGGGGCCTTTGGGGCCGTCCTGGGCCATCTTGGGGCCATCTTGGACGCCTCGGGTGCATCTTGGGCCGTCTTGGAGACATATTGGAGCCGTCTTGGGCTCTCTTGGAGCGATCCTAGCCGCCTTGGAGGCATCTTGGTGACCATATTGGGCCGTTTGGGCCGTCTTGGTGGCGATGTGGGCCACACCTTCTGGTCCTTCCGAGGGGCAGGCGGTCTGGGCCGAAGGCCACTGGGAAGGGTTTGAAAATCAGAATCTCAGCAAAATGTCTGGCACGCCGTCCAACCCTGTGGCAAGCACAGGGGGCGGCGGATCCAAGACGCCTACGGCGAATCACCGCCGCCCCCAGCCTTTTGAGAAGCGCCTATGTGGCCAAACGTTGGGCCCCAGCTTGGCCAAGCTATCTGATTATGTATTCCCCCAGCCGCTCCGGAAACTCTTCGGGGAACGCTTGGGG